GCAGCCCCTGTCCAATTTAAGCTCACAATTTATTGGGGGAAGACAGTCAACAATAAACACATGAGAGAATTTCTGATAAATCTTATTGCAGATAACTAAAAGGGGGTGCTATGATAGAAAGCAATGGGCATCTACTTTAGATACAGAAATGATGAAACAGTGAAACTATTCATACATCTTAGAGTTTAGTAAGAAGCATAGGCACAGTATGCAAGTTGTCTTGGGATAGAAGAAAAAGGTTATTAAATATTTTTATGACACTGTTCATTTAAGAATTCTCCATTTCTCTCTGACATCACCTTTTTAAAGAGATATTCTTTATCAATTAAAAGTTATTTCAATCTTTTATTGCAATTAAAATTGTTTACCTTTTTTTCTCTCAATTTAAATTCATGTTGATCTGACTTTACTTTAAAGCTTTAGTTTTGCCTAAGTGTATTAGTATCTCTGCAAAGAATATAAACCTGGTCCTCTTACCCAGTGATTCTGATAATAGTAGATTAAGGAGGGATTCAAGCATGTTCATTCAAGAAAATAATTAAAAAATGCCTCAAAAGTGATTATGCTGTGAACCCCTGAATGGTACCACTTTTTAAAATGACCCATCGTTGGGGCACCTGGGTGGCTCAGTCGTTAAGCGTCTGCCTTCCGCTCAGCACATGATCCCAGGGTCCTGGGATCGAGCCCCACATCGGGCTCCCTGCTTGGCAGGAAGCCTGCTTCTCCCTCTCCCTCTCCCCCTGCTTGTGTTCCCTCTCTCGCTGTCTCTCTCTCTGTCAAATAAATAAATAAAATCTTTAAAAAAATAATAATAATAAAATGGCCCATTTCTCTTCTGGGCTTATGAGCAGAGCTGCACATAATGGAAAATTTTAAAATTCCTTTAACCACCTCCCTCCCCCTGCCATGCAAAAGGCAGTTACCCCAGACAAAGGGACTAGCCCACAGTGTGCGTGCCCAACTCCCCAGTTATGAGTGGACCTGATACAAATGAAATACAAGACTATTCTATAATCAGACCAGTGGTTCTTAAGTTGGGTTATCAAAGTGTTGCATCAGGAACACCTGGAACCTTGTTAGAAATGCAAATTCTTAGATCTTATCACAGCTTTAATGTATCAAAAAATCTTTCCCAGTGATTGTGATCAAGTTTGGGAGCTGCCGGCTCTGGGCAGGCAGTGCAATTGTCCTTATGCTAATCAACAAAATAGGTTATTTACACATTTTGAAGTGATATTCCTTAATCCTTGCTATGAAACTCAGAGATGTATGTACCCAAAGCATTCGCTGGATACCAGCTGCATCAATGAACTAATGACTATTGTCTAGGTAAATAAAATTATGGAGTTGATTGAAGGCACACACAAATGGTGAATTTTTTAATCTGCCTCCCCATCTCATATTTTAACAGAATACAAAATACCAAGCCCCTGTTTTATCTTCCACTCTAAAACACACACAGTGTATGGTTTCCTACGCAATTTAAGATCTTTGTTTTCAATGATTCTTCTCCAAGTTGTCTGCAGCACCCGTGCCAATCTGACCAGATGCTTCCGTGAGAGTCTGACCCGTTAAGAGTTCAGAGCACTGACTGATGAAAGCCAGCAACAGCCTGTGTGGTAGACTGATGGGTGAACAACAGAGGAAATTACACAGTTGCAAGAGCTGCTTTGCCAGCTCTTGAAACTCTGGTGACCAGCCCACCGTGGCTCTATTTACTAGCAATAGAATGATAACAAAGCTCTTCAGTGTCTGAGGGAAACAGTCCAAAACCCTGGTAATGATTTACTGCAGCAGACTTGGAAAATTAAAGCAGAATACTTACTGAGCCATAGAGTTTCCCCTTCTTGTTCATGGCTAAATAATAGTTGCTGTTAATGGCTTTGACGGCAACAACTCCGATTTCCACTGAAGTTATCTCTAGGATACCTAAAACATACAATAAAAAAAAAAAGCTAAATTTAAAGGGTCACATATATTTAGGTGAAAGAAAGAGAAAATCAGAACTATTGAGTTTTAATTTCTGATCATTCTAAAATTAGTAGATTTTTAAAGACTGGGGGCATCTGGGTGGCTCAGTTAAGCAAATGGCTCTTGATTTCAGCTCGTGTCATGATCTCAGGGTGGTGAGACTGAGACCCGTGTCAGGCTCTCCACTCAGCGGGGAGTCTGTCTGAGATTCTCTTTCTCCTTCTCCCTCCCACCCACTCTCTCTCTCTGTCTCTCAAATAAATCAATCTTTAAAAAAAATTAAAATTAAAAAAATTAAAAATTGGAAAAAAAATCTCTTTCGATGTTCCTAAAAACCCAGCAACTATATTGAAACAAGTAGTAAGTCTTTAAAAGAATTTCCTTATATTTTACTCTGAGCATATAAAGAAAAATATTGTTTTAATTAAAATGCTTCCTTTGCTAACTCTGCATTTTCAACCCCATAAATATTGAAACAACTCTATCTTAGCCTAGATTTCACAAAAACTTATCAGAGCACACATCTGCACTATGGTATTAAATTAAATCCATAGCATATGTCAATAATATGTCAGATTTGCCTCAATCTGTAAAAACAGTGGTAAACTATTTCTCCTTTGTAGGACACTTAGATAAACTAAATCTCTTGGCTACATTTAACTGATAAATTCAGTTTTGGAAAATGTGTTGACATTCTGTGTTAAAGAAAGTCTAATCCCAACATCCACATTATCTTTAAAATAGCAAAATCACTACTCTGGGTTGGGAGAATATCCAGTATCCATCAGTATTTTTAAAAGCTTTTTTTTTTTTTCCCTAGAAAGAATGGATAACTGAGGGAATTTGTAACTGATAGACAAGAGAACTTTTTCCCTAATACACGTTTTGTTGGTGCATCTAAAGGTAATTTTTTTTGAAAGGTCTGTAGGTAACTATAGGGAAAGCATTCGATATTTTACCTTGCCTTTGAGGTACAAACAAATACATCCATTTATTGGCATATTTAAAAATACTTTCTTGTATTTTATTTCTTTAATTCTCACAACAGTTCTCTAAGAAGGTATTGCTATTCTTAATTACAGATGAAAAACAGAGGATATGAGATTATATAACTCACACATAAGATGCTAAAGTGACAGAGACCAGTTATGATGGATCCAACACCTAAGCTTCTGGCTTTCAGACTGTTGTGCTCTCCAACTCTATTTACCTCTCTGTCATATCTCCCCACCCTTTCCCATTCTCCCAAGGGAATCCTGTTGGAAAACCATCTGACAAAATGACTCATCCGGATAATAGTCTTTAATAGGCATGCCACAGAGGAAAATGACTAAGTATCAGGGAAGGGAATCTAATGTACTGTATGTCACAAGCAGAAGATACAGAGCAAGGCAGGAGGTTGAAATCTTGGGCAAAATATTTAGGCTGGTATTTACTTTGCCTAAGAAACAAGCACTGTCCGTAAATTGCAAGTTGTTCCCTATGTATGCTTTTATAACCAAATATTGTTAGAATGAAAAGATTGAAGGATGATTTTAGCAAAGAATAAAGCAGAATTTTTGAAGGTGACAAAAAGAAAAACATGATACAAATGTTACTAAATCCTTGACCAATCATTTCTGAGAGTACATTGCACATGGTATATTTAGCTTGGAAACCCCTGGATTTTTCTGCTTTGCCCAAAACAGGAACTCAATATTCAAAGAATTCATCAATCAATTAACCATTTTCCCACTCTGCAACCAGTTAAGACTAGTGTGAAAAAGTTCACTATGCTTCAAAATAGAAAGTGGGAAGACCTAGATGACAAGATTTTTTCAAATTCTGAAAAGAATTTTTTGTGTATGTCAGTAAAGTATAATCTGATAATTTTGTGGTAATGAACAATGACTGTCTTTATTATAAACATCTGTTAATGTGAAAGTAACTTTCTGAGGGGCTCAAGTGTAGCGGACTTGTCCATTTTTTTTTTTTTTTTATGAAGAACCTCTTAAGTGTTCTCTGTTCTTTGGTAAGGATGATTAAGTTTGCTTATAAAAGTATTTTTTGAAAAAGAGAACCAGAATTTTACTTGATGGTTGTTGGACTAATAACTTAGCATTCTGTATTTGTATATTTTGATGCAAAATGAAATGCCAACTGAAGGATGACCTCCTAGGGGAAAGTAAGTGAAAGGCATACAGATTTCTCTGTATTTCTTACAATTTTTGTGAATCTACAATTATCTCAAAAGTTATAAAGTACTGTTTTGTTATTTCAAGAAACTAACACCTGAAAATTATATCATTAATGAAAGGGAACATAAATTATATTTCTTATTCATGTAAATCAGGTATTTTCTAAATTTGAAGACATATTCTTGTGGTGAAATTCTATTACTTACATTAAGTTTTAACCACATCAGTTTTGATGTCTCTTAAAAGATGAATATGCCAGGTGGTATTCTAAATCTATTTAAGAGCTTTTGGACAGTTTAATTCAAACACATAGGAAGACCTATGGGGAGAAGGGTACTCTTTTAGGAAATGGGAACATAAAGCCAAGTAAGTTATGGCTTTCCGTGAGCAAAATCTATGCTGTTTTGGAAGTAAAAGACAAATATGCAGAGAATTACAATAAAACATATTAAGTGATAGTAAGAGCTAAGATAGAAGACAAAAGAGGCAAAAATAAAAGTAGTCCATATTGGCTGGGGCTCCAAGGCAGACTTACTATTTGGAGATGAGACTTGAATTGGGTTTTGAAGGTTGAATAAGAAGCATCCGGGGGAAAGGTGAGAACACATGAACAAAAGCATTAAGGTGAAACAGTGTGGTGTTTTCAGAAAATCATGTTTGACTTACCAACTAGAGAACAAGAAACAAGGCAGGAAGTCATGAGAAGAGAGGTTAGGGAGTTAAGTAAGACTCAGGGTATCAACCATCTTGTATGGACTCTAAGAATTTTGGCAAATAGGAAGTATTTTATCTAAAACTATATAACTTTAAAAAACATGTTAGAAAGATCCAATATTTGGCAAATTTATTTAAGTAAATAATAGCAATCTGTAAAGTTTATTTTGAATTATATTTGAAATCCTATATAATAAAGTTTGATTATTGACATCACAAGTGATTGCAACATAAATCAGCTCCTGTTAATGGCCACATTCTACCTAAGAATGCATCATCACCATAGTAATGGGGAGGATTTTGCAAAGTGATGAAATCCAAATGGAAATAACCTAGAAGTCACAATTTTCATGTAAATCATCTCTTCTTTTAACTTGCCAAGGCATGAGTTATGTTTTGATGAATCATTGAGTAGTTAATCTGAGAAGGGCCATTCACAAGTTTCTTTCCCAGTTTATGCTTCTCATCCTTCTCCAGAAGAGAAGCATCTGACCCATTTTCTCCCTAGCAATCACCCTGGACCAAGAATATTTCTCTTTTTGGGCTATTAGAATAAACAAACTATTGGCCAGCATGATAACTTTCTCCTTAAACATTTTTTCATGACACAACAGGAAAAAGTAAAAGGCAAGTAAAACTTTAATAAAATGGATATAGACAGAGGGAAAGCTAGATGTAAAAAACAAATGCAAAATCTCATTATCCTCTCCTAAATAAATAAAACATGAATATATAAGAAATCCTAGAGATTCTTTGAGTAAATTCAATAATGTATTAAAGCACAAATGTGTAGGATTTGTGTTAGCTCTTACTATGGAGGATGCAAAAACAAACAAGACACAGTCCTTCAAGGAGCTTTAAAACTGGGTAGAATAAGGACACATATAATTAAAGTACTTACAATACAAAGAAAATATTCTAAGAGGTACATGAGAGAGAAAATACATTGTCTTGGTTTTAAATAGTAAAGTTGTTGTCCTGAAGATGGTTGATGTTTGAGGTGAACCTGTCAGGGGTAGGATTTTAGTAGGTGAGAATTTGCAAAGTTGAGAGGAATAGTCTATGCAGAGAAAAATGAAGGGGTAAAGAAAGGCATGGGGGAGAGAAAAGGATTCAGTGTGTATTTGAGGTATGGTTGGCTCTCCCCACCAATTGTACTTTGTGGGGACCACTCAGTAAAAGCGTAGATTGTACTTCATTGAGTAGCAGTGGTGCTGTCCTGGGCGAGGAATGTACTTTTCAAAAACTTTGTTGTGAACTTTGGAAGCAGCTCCGTAAATGTCAGAGCCTCATGAATTCAGAATCAGTCATGTCTATTATTTTGCTCTAAATATTTTACTCAAAATGATAATGCTATATAGTTTGATAGTTTTAGTTAATGTGCTGAAACATATTATGATTAGTATAATATAATACACAAATCCTAACTTCTCTAAACTAAATCTCTTTCTCATGAGTTGTTGTCAAGTGTCCCACTTTTATATTATATTATATTATATTATATTATATTATATTATATTATATTATATCTTAATATAAAAAAGCCTATGGAACGCCCCAGAGTTGTTATCACATTTACACTATACACCTTAGAGATTATGTGGACATACTCTACAGTGTGGTGCTAAATGGCTCCAAGCGTGGTCTTGAGAATCACCATAGATCATACCTCTTTCAGTGTGTATCTTTCTCAAAGAGCCATAGCAATTGCAGTAATCTTCTTCTTTTTATTGGAACAGGACATACATACATAATTCATAATATGTGCTCCATATATTTTTATTGAATGAATTATTTTATTGAATGAATCAACGAATGATCAGTCCAGCAACTGGCTGAGTAAAAGAAAACTCAGTATTCATTAAATACAGAATTTTTTTTTAAGATTTTTATTTTACTTATTTGAGAGAGAGAGAGAGCACAAGCAGGCAGAGGAGCAGAGGGAGAGGGAGAAGCAGACTCCCCGCTGAGCAGGGAGCCTGACATGGGGCTTGATCCCAGGACCCCAGGATCATGAGCTGAGCCGAAGGCAGTAGCTCAACCAACTGAGCCACCCAGGTGCCCCCA